CCTTCTCTTTCCGGCCAGAGGCCCCCCCCCCCCCCCCGCCGCCCGCCCGCCCGCGACAGGCTGCGACTCCTCCGCCCTCAAGACTGCGTTCGCCACCGGCACCGCCTCGCGGTGGGGCACGGCCGCCACCGCCCGCTTCGCCTCCGCCTCCGCCGAGCGCTGCCTCGCCGCCGCCGCCTCCTCCTCCACCTCTCGCCTCGCCGGCGTGCTCGTCCAGTTCCCAACGCCCTACCGCGCTCCCGGAGGGGGAAACGCGCAGCTGCCGACCCGCGAGGAGGGGTACATGCTCTGGCGAGTAGAGACCACGCCTGCTATTCACAGCACAAGCCCTCGCGGGGGCTCGAGCATGCGCAGCGAAAAGCATCCTTTTTCCAGACGGATCCCCCCCTGTGAAAAAGCGAGGCGTGGTCTCTACTCGCCAGGTACATGCTCCCGCCCTCGCTGCTTGCGGAGATCGCCGCCGCCCTGCGAGACAGCGGTGGGTGGCTCCTCTTCCAGTCCAACGTCGAGGACGTCGCCGTCGAGGCGAGGGCCGCGGCGGAGCGCGCCGGCACCCCGCGCTCGCCGCCCGACCGCCCATGCCGCCCAGTCGCGACCGACCCCTGCCGCGCGTGCGCCCCCGCCGATAGGCCTGCGCGCCCACGGCGGCGGCGGCGGCGGCGGCGGCGGCGAGGGCTCGTCGTTGCGCCGCGCGCGCGTGGCGCGAGCCGGCGGCGGCGTGGGCGCGGCAGACGGGCCAGGGTGGCTGAGGGACAACCCGCTCGGCGTGCTGAGCGAGACGGAGGCTGCGCTCCTGCTCGACGGCCGCAGAGTGCACAGGTTCCTCGCGAGGGCAAGGGGTCGGGGTTGAGGGAAGAGGTTCGACGCTGCATGTGGCACGTGATCCTGGCGGCGAGTAGTCGTCCTAGAACCTCCGACACGTGGTCTAGCCCGCGTGGTTACGCCTCCATCTGGGCCTCCTACACGCACTTGGACCGCACACACGTTGGAGAGGCGTTGGAGCAAAGAAAGAAAAAAGAATTTAAACAACACAACTCTCTCTCACAGCAGACAGGCTCAACAAGAAAAAGAAAGCAAGAAAATAGGGACAACCCAAGGTGGAGCTGGGAGAGGGAAGGAGGTGGATAGGTCATAGCACATATAGGTGGTTGCTCCGCCGCCAGACCCCCCCCTCCACCACCCTCGCCCAGGGATCTACAACGCTGTCTTAAGGTCCGACAGGTTCGGCACCGGGCACCGCCTCGGTATACAAAATGCGCCAGCCGGCGGACCCTTACACATCACAGATCACATATCTCACAAATACTTGATTTTTCACGCCGTGTAACAATCGTGATCAAACGGCCCTGCTGTGAGCTGGTACACCAAGAATGGCTTACCACTGCCAGGAGCCACACTGTGGCAAGCTGTGATGAGCGTGGTTTGGCTTGTGCAGCCCATACGGACGTGGTATATATACATATATGCGGCCACGTGTCGGCCGGTTCGGGGCACGAAATCCGGATTTTTCCACGGCGTAACAATCGTTGCTGTAGTGGCGCCAATGGCCGCCTCCCGTCGCGCCATTGGCACCCTAGCCAGCAGTAGCACCGGAGGCAACACCACCAAGCCCACAAGTCACAAGAGTGACGGAGATGCTTGCCACGAGCACCGTGACGCCCGACCCTGTGAGCACCGTGGGCGTATACGGCTGCATACGGTGAGATGATGCACAGCATGGCCAGACGAGGGATGCAAGGCTCGCCAGCTGTATGTTAGTGAGGTATATGGATGTGATCAACATGTGTCCGTCACAGGTACGCGCAGCAGCGCATGTAGCCGCTGATATCGAAGACAGCGCAAACAGGTCTTTTTGCGCCACGCACCCGATGGCCGTGCTGGTCCAACTGCGTGCACAGGAATGCTATCAGCGCGTCTCCGCCATAACTGGACATGGCAATGAAGCAGCTGAGACGTGATAACACCGGTGCTGGGCCAAGGAGGTGCCGCTCACCGCCGATTGTTACGACTGTCGTCGAAGGCGAGCGGCGGTCGCCGGGCAGCAGCTCGAGGTGTCGAGGACGATGGCGCCGCGCGGCTGGAGGCAACGGAGAAAGGCATTGTGGAGCGGCGAGGCGATTGTTACGAATTTCGAGGCGCGGAAAAATCCTGCAAAATCAAGTATTTGTGTGAATCCAGGGCTCGCACCTCAACCTCTCACAGGCCAGCGCACAGCGCCATCGGAGGTATTTTCTTCTCAATAACCTCGAGACGCTGTGAAGGAGAGGACGCACTCCACCAGACAGTCTGTCGCCACTTGCCACTTGGAGCACTTGGAGCGCACTTGGAGCACTTGGAGCCACTTGGAGCGAGACGGAGCTGCGCTCCTGCTCGACGGCCGCAGAGTGCACAGGTTCCTCGCGAGGACACGACCGCACGGCTTGGAGTCTACGCGAGTATAGTCGAGCGCGTGTGCAGGTTCGTTCATGGTGACAGCCCCGGACACGGTAATCCCGCCGCCATCGGAGTCGGCCGCCGTGCGGGAGGGCAGCGAACCCGTTCCCCGCTACGTGCATCCGCAGAAGTTCTGCCCAGAGACGGAGCGAGCTGCTGCAGCCGCTCACCTCAGCGAGCACGGATTCGTCGTGTTCTCTCACGCTCTCACCGTGGCCGAATGCGAGCACGCGCTAGACGGGCTGTGGGCCTGGCTAGAGGGGCTCGGCACAGGCGTCGAGCGGCGGCGGCCCGACACGTGGGACGACGAGCGCTGGCCTCGCTGCGTCGAGGGCGGCATCCTGCCCTTCCACGGCATCGGGTGCTCCGAATTCATGTGGCGCATCCGGAGCAACGCCAACGTGCGCGCGGCCTTTGCCGCCGTGTGGGGCGTGACGTCGGACGACCTGATCACCTCGCTCGACGGCGCGGCCGCGTTTCGGCCGTGGAGGCGGCGGCCGGAGCGGCGGACGCGCGGCGGTTGGCTGCACGTGGACCAGAACCCGGCGAGGCCAGAGTTCGAGTGTGTCCAGGGCCTCGTCCACTTCGGACCGGCCACAAGCCACGCCACGGGCGGCAACGTCCTCCTGCCGGGATCGCACCGCCGCTTTGGACGGCTCTCTCGCTACGCGGCGGAGCTGCAGGACGACGACGACTTCTTCAGGCTTCCGCCCGACGACCCCCTACTCCGCGACGGCGGCGGTGACGACGGCGGTGACGGCGGCAGTGGCGGCGGCAGTGGCAGTGGCGGCATCATCTGCCTGCTGCAGCGCGGCGATCTGCTGCTGTGGGACTCGCGCACTGCCCACTGCTCAGCGCCGGGGGAAGGGGGCGCAGTCCTCGCGGGCGGGGAGGAGGAGGAGGAGGAGGAGGACGAGCTGCTGCGCGCGGTCGCTTTTGTCTGCCTCGTCCCCCGCTCGCGCGCCTCGGAGGAGGTGATTCGGAGGCGAAAGGCGGCGGTCCGGGCGCGCGTCACGACGGCGCACCGGCCATATGTCTTCCAGCCGACGCACGAGTACAGCGTGTACTGCGACGAGCAGATGGCGCGGTACTCTGTGCCGCGCGACGAGCCGCTGCTAACACCGCTTGCGGCGCGGCTGGTTGGGTACAGCGAGGCCGAGATTGCCGCCGGGGAGCACCTGCCAGCGGCACGGTCCGGAGAAGGGGTTTAAAAGGCAGCGGGGAGGGGGGCGGCATATGCGCGCGCGAGTAGTTCTCGACTTGCGGTGGCGGCGGTGACGAGGCGGCGCGCTAGGCGGCGCGAGATCGCCCAGGTGCTGAGCGTGCGAAAGTTTATTGCTCAGCTGGTTCGCCGCCTCCCTCGGGGTGCTGCGGACCTCCCTTCCAAAGAGCCTCTCGGAAAGTCTCTCTCGAAATGGAACCATTATGGTTGAAACCAATCAGCAATCACGCGAGGATTGCGCACGACTCGGTGTCGGACGCGATGGGGTTGAGCAAGCAGCCCAACGCTGCGAGGTGCGAGCCGACGGCCGCGCTCCTTTCGCGTTTCGGCGCGGCGCTGGTAGTTTGGATCGCATTTTGGGGGTATTGCTTGCTCTGTCCCCCTTCTCCTCACGTTGATAGCGGGATACGTGGCTGGGTTCACAGCGATTGTAGGAAAATAGTTAGAGGCTGCGCAGGCCGTCCCGTTTGCATGTTTGCATAAAAAACGCCCCGCGCGCTGCGCGCGCCGGGCCCGGGGGCGGGGCTCTCCCCGCAAACCCCCCCAATATGTGTGTGTCTCTCACCGACACTCACCGCACGTCACACACGTGCCGCAATATGTGTCACACACGGCGGCTTTTCTGCCACCTCTCGATCGGTTTCACTTTCTACGCACACCCACCGGGGAAGGGGCGCTTGGGAGCGGGGGCGGGGGCGGGGGCGTGGGCGGGGGCGTGGGCGTGGGCGGGGGCGGGTGCGCGCGGCGCGCGCGTGCGGGCAACAGAGGGCAGGGGTGGTGAAGACGGCGAGGAGGGGGCGGCGGCGGCGGCGGCGGCGGCAGCGCGCGCGGCGCGCGCGACGGAGGGGCGGAGCAGCGACCGCTGGCGCGGTCGCTGCTCCGTCTGTGCCAGAGACGCGCGCTCTGCGCCGCTGCACAGAGCGCGCGTCCGGCAAGGGGGGCAAGCGTGCGTGGCGGCGCGGGACGCGCGGCGGCGGCGGCGAGCAGCCGAGCGCTCCGTGCGCGGTGAGGCGGCCGGGCGAGGGCGGCAGGTGACGGGGCAAGGGATCAGCCCACACCCGGCCGTCGCTTTTTGAGCGACGCCTGCGGCACGCCTGCGCAGGGGCTGCAGGGCGGTCAGTTGTGGGGCGAGGCGGTGCCGGCCGCGGGCCGGGTGCAAGGCGCCGGCCTCGGCGCCGCCTCGGCGCGCCGCACGGGCGCGGCGAGCCTCTGAGCGGGAGCCGAAGGTTTGCTGCGGTAGGTAGGTGGGAGGCGGTAGGTGGGGTGGTTTGACTTTGCCGCAGAGGCCGTCCCTAGCTGTGAACAGCAAAACGGGACAGTATTGGGAAAACACTTGACGGTCGCGGCCTTCCGACTCGCGCCTCCGCCTCACTGGCACTATTCTCTATTGTAGCCCTGGCGCGTGCGAAGTTGAAGTTCCGGAGTGAAAATTCGAACGCGTTTCTCTCACGGTGACCAAAAAATGTCCACCTCAGAGGCACCTCCGGAGGCAGGCCGCCGCACGCCGGCGACACAGCTCCAGCTGTCGAGCTGACCCGCAGCTCCTCTCAGAGCGGGAACTGTGACGAAAGTTGACTGAGGCGGTTGTCAGGAATCATCATACGGATCACATGGTGGCTCTCTCATGACGGGAGACCGCCCGACCACTCCTGGTGCCACCGGTGTCGCTCGACGTCCTGTCGACAGCGTGCCGACAGCGACACATACCATGTGGGACGCGTCGAGTATCGACCTCTACTGCTTACCCAGTCTTCGAGTGTATCCTGGCTGTGGTCCCACACCCACTGGTGTCCATCTCAGAGACCGCAGGAGGTCATGTGAGGGTCGATGGGAGTGCCAACCCCACAATGCCTAAAAACCCAGCCCAGTACAGCCAGGATACACTCGAAGGCTGGGTAAGCAGTAGAGGTCGATATACTCGACGCAAATGCTTTTTGGTGAGGCAGCCGGTGATGACGAAGCAGAAACTAGCGCAGACGAGAGCAGGGCAGACCCGGGGACTGGGGAGCCGGAGCAGACGGCATCGGCCGCCGAGGGAACGTTGGGAAGAGGCACGAGGAGGGCGGCGACCTCGACCGACTATGGAGGACCCGTCGCCAGACGACGCAGTGCAGAAGACGGTGAGGCGGAGCAGACGCGCAGGGCGAGACGAGGGAGGGGTGTCTCAAACACGTCTCTGGAGGTGGACTGTGCCACCCCTTGAGACAAAGTGAGCCTGTTGCTGTGACCAGGCTGAGACAACACAGAGATCGGTGAGAGTCTGTGAGACATTACTGTGAGTCACAGTTTTGGATTTGGATCCAGGGCCGGCACCCAGCGATATCGCTTTTCTTCTTTTTTGAGCTAGCCTTCGATGTTATGAAACAAACGCAAGGCGGACATGGCATGTGATCTCGGGCCCACAGACATCCCGCACACCCGCCGCCCCCGCGCGCGCCCCACCCCGGCCGGGAGTGGGGAGAAAGGGGAGCCACAGTTTTGGATTTGGAGCACTTGGAAAAGAAAGAAAGAAAACAGACAAACCCAAACGAGGGATAGGGGAGGAGGACAGGGTCCCCACCTGCACGAGCAAGATTTTGGAAGGACGATCAGGGGGACAGGTGGGGCTCTCCTGCTCCTGACAAGGGACACGACAGGCTCGCAGCGCGGTGCACGGTGGACTCCCACATCCACTGGCGGTGTCTCATCTCAGTCTTGTAGCTCGATCGGTCACACCGCCATCGCCGTCGGGGAGAGGGGGGACGACACTGCTCTGGAAGCGTGCACCTCGATCCTGTACCGTGTTTGTTATGACCCCCCCCAATGAACACATCAGTGAGGGAGGGCGAGACGATCGCCGCCCCGGGCGTCGCGCCGTGGCGGTGCCAGCAGGTGGGCTCCGGCGCCGCCCCGCGCGCGCGCAAGCGCGGCGGCGACGCCTCCGCACCACCCGTGCCACCACCCGGCCGAGCGAGGAGCAGGAAGACGAGCAGAGACATGCTGTCTCAAGGGTTTGTTGACGGCTTCCGCACTTGGAGCACTTGGAGTGCAGTCATTAACCTCACATCCAGGGAGCTGAGAAGCGCACCCAGCGGGCCGGATGATCGGTGTCGGGTTACGGGCTAGAGAGCCCTAGCCCCGGGGGTGCGCGTTCGCAGGGAAAGGGCCGTAAAGGAAACACAGATGCGTCTTTTGACGCGTTCTTTTCTTTTTTCTCGGCGAGTTTCTGTCGGCCTTTCAGTGCGCGGGCGCGCGGCGGACGCAAAGCACGCGTCACACACTACCCCCTACCCTAACACACCCTCAGCCTGCGCCGGAACGGCCGCGCGCACAAACCTCTTCCCGCCATTCGGAGCGCGTGCCGGCACAGAGTGGCGCGGCTGCCGTAGACGGCGCAGGGACCGCGCTGGGGCGCGCAGGGTTGTGTGGGTGGCATGTGGGAGCGCGCAGCCTCCTGCTCCGTCTCTCGGGCGCCGCCTGATCCTCTGCACACGCGGTGGTGGCGACATGCGGGAGCGCGCGGCGTCCGTTTCTGTCTCGGTCGGCCGCTCTTGACCCTGTGCACACCCCATCCACAGGGTCCGCCATGTCCATGGACCCGCGCTTCCCCGCGACTGGCGAGGCGCCGTACATGAGTGTGCTCAAGGGCGACACGTTTTTTGCGCGCACCTTCCCCAACTACAAGAAGATGTTCTTTGACAAGGGCTCCTTCCGCCCCGTCGTGCACGCGATGCTGGTCGTAGGCTTCATTGGCTACACGCTCGACTACTTTCAGCACCTGCGCTGTGCGTGCTGCCCTCCCCGCCTCTCGCCCGCCCGCCCGCCGCCCGACCCCCTTCCCGAGCTGCTGACGCGGCTCCTCCGCTTCCGCCGGCAGTCGAGCGGCACAGCTACAAGGAGAAGCATTTGGGCGGCCACTGAGGCGGCGCGCATACCGCTGGCTTTGCTCGAGGCTTGCGGCCCGCCGCGCGCGTTGGCCACGCGGTGAGCCAGAGCTCTCCTGTACTTGGGTCTTGAGCTGTGTGTGTGGTTCTCCCCTCCCCCCCCCCCCCCCCCGATTCGCGACGCTGCGTGGTCTACGCACTCTCCACCCTGACCGTGGTCACACTGCACGACACAAGCATGCGTATCATACACCGGTAATTGAAGAGCACAGTTTTTTTTTTTTGGGGGGGGGGGGGTCGCGTTCGACTTTTCGGGCCCGCGCTGCCGCTGGCGGGGGCTCTCGCCTCTGTCCGTCTCTCTCAAACTACACGCTCTACGGACTACGGTGTACCTGTACGGTCCTACACTCGTACACCATTGTGTATGTCCTGATATAAAAGACCGCGCTTACATATCGTATGTGTATCGCACTTTCACTTTGCAGGTCAGAAGGCTTCGTAGCCCTCCGGTCTACTATAAAGCAAGCGAGTGTTTGCAGGTTGCACTCTTGCAGTGTTAGGTGTTTCCGCACAAGTGTGAAGTGAGAGTGTTGAGTGCTGAGTGGGGCTCTGGGGCGAGACGCTATCTGCGCGCTAAAATCAGCTATGCTCCAGCGGCGATGGTGGCGGCGGCGGCGCGGCCGACCGCGAGAGGTAGACGCCGAGAGACCAGCTCGGCTTGAGGGTCACGCCCGGAGCGACCTCGAACGAGCGGCAGAGGTAAAAGCTCGCTCCCTCGTCGGCGAGGCCTGCGAGCCCTAGCAGCTCTGCGGGCAGCAGCCCAGCGTACGCCTCGTGCCGGCTCGCCACGGCCCCGCCCCTCGCCCACTGCTGCAGGTGCTCCCGCAGCGCCGCGACCAGCGCCGCCTTGCCCACCACCCGCTGACCCACCTGCCGCGCCAGCCCGGCGAAGCGGCCGCCGTACTCGTCTGCGGAGCCGCAGGCTCCGACCATTTCGATGGCGACGAGCGTGCCGCGTAGCTGGCCGCGCCGGCCAGAGGCGGACACCTCTGCCGCAAGCCGCGCGCCAAAGGCCTCGATCGCGCAACTCCGCGCGTCTTCGTCGGCCGCGCCGTCCGCCCGCTCGCAGAGCGAGGCGGCGGCGTCGATCAGCCCGTGCGTCACCGAGAGGAAGCTGGCCGCTGCGCCCGGAGGGTCGTGCCAGCCGACCTGCAAAGGTCGGGGACGATCTCAGCACCGACACTCCCGGGCAGCGACAGCAAGGCCGCTCGCCTGCGAGGTCATCCCGCCGCCGCTGAGCATTCCGATCGGCCGGGGCACACTCGGCGGCAGTGTCAAGTCGGCGACGTGCTGCACCGCGCCGAGCTCGGCCCGCGCCTCGTCCTCGCCGCTCAGGCTGCGGAACTCGGCGGCCGGCACCAGCTCCCGCAGCAGCTCTCCAAGCGACGCGAGCATGCGAGGCGTGACCCTGCCGGCCGCCTCGGCCTGCCGCAGCCCGCCGGTGGCGCCAATTACTGTGGAGGTGCAGCCCGTCGCCACGACGAGCTCCTGTATGCTCGCCACCCACCGGCGCAGCGCCGAGCCGCCCTCGGTGAGCACGTCAACGATCCGAGGGAGCGCAAACGGTTCCGCCTGCCCGGTGCTCGCGCTCGCCTCGCAGGCGTGGACGCGATTGCCAGCGTCCCCCCAGAAGACGGCGGCGCGCGTCAGGCCCGAACCGCAGTCGACGATGAGTGTGGACATTTGGGTCGGAGGGAAGTATCAGCACACCGAGGAGCTGACACCCCTCGACGACCAACACCCCGCTGGGTTGGGCTCCTACAGTGCGAGGCGTGGCGATAGAAATCGGGGCGTCGGCATCCAGCAGCCGATTTCTGTTTCGGCGAGGGAAATCGGGCGAGCCAGCAGCCGATTTCTATAAGCGATTTCTGCCAAAATTTTCTTCGGCGCTGCGCGCCGGTCACTATACGGTCTAGATACTAGTACACTAAAAGGTTGCCCTGAGATACGAATTCAATCCTCCCGCTTAACCGTCCCTGAACCCACTAAATTGCGTCTGTACCCACGCGGCAAACATTCATTCATTTCGTGTGTGCGTGCTCGCTCGTGCGCCGAACCAAGTTCTGCTTCAACAAACCCGTCGAGAGGCCACGTCACGCCGGTGTCCCCTTTTTCTGCATCTTTGTGGGTGTGGCAGCCCACTTTGCCAGTCCCTAGAGGTGTCTTTGACATTTGACTTCGATGTCTGGTGGGGGACGATTTATGTCTGGTGGGGGACGCAGGTGCTCAAAGGTTGCGGGCGTGTCACCACTCGCGCCTTCGCTCCCGACACTGGGTTCTTGACATGCAACGACATGCCGAAAAGGGAGCGATCCGCGGCGCAGGCACGCGCTGAGGCCGTGTATAGACGCGCCAATCCGGATGATAGGGGCGATCGGGGCCGTGACCGCAGGGCCGAGAAGGTCGAGTACAGACGCAGACTCAAGAAAACGAGAGCGGAGGCCGCCGCCCTCGCGGTGCCTGACGCTGCTCCTGCGGCTCTCGTTCCCGTCCCGATTCCGTCTACCGTCCCTCGGCCACGGGCCCTCGGCCAGCACGGCAGGGGCCACCTGCTCGTCGCGAGGCAGCCGAGCTTGGCACTTCCGCCGCCCCTCGCCGCTCTTCCACCTACAATTGCTCCTCGCCTCGTCGCTCCGATCCCGCCTTTGGCGCCGACCGCGAGCCGGTACGGCGGCCTCGCCCTGCGCGACATCGCCTTTGGCAGCAGCCAGGGTCGCCTCGGCAAGGGCGGCCAAGGCACCGTTAGGCTTGGCCGCCACTACGGTGGTCGTCTCGCGGTGAAGCAGCCGCTGCGCGCGAGCAGCGCCTTTGCCTCCGAGTGTCAGATCGCGGCAGCACTACACCATGAGAACATCATCTATGTGATGGGCTTTGCATGCGCCCCGCGCGAGACGCCGTTCCTCGCTCTCGATGCTGCTGACGAGGACGTTGATGGTCGTGGACGCGTGCTTTGTTTGCATGTCGGCAGCGATGAGCTCTGCGCGGTCGGGTGTGTCGACTGGGTAGCGGGCCATGCCGAGGAGAAGCGCGACGATCTCGTCCTCACTCTCGAGCGGCCGCAGCTTCGTGGAGAACCGCCTCAGGCCGGCGGCGAGATGGACGGTGTCGGCGGCGCAAAGCATTGCAAGCCGAGCGTGCCTCTTTCAGTCTTGTTTAAACTCTTTCAGTCTCAATCTCAAATCTCGAGTCACGCTGCCCGAGTAGATTTCGGTGGTCCGCAAGTGATGTTTTTCGAACGATGCGAGATAAAGGCGTTGGAAGGTTGAGGAAGTTCACAGCATTCTGCATCGAAAACGGAATCTCTCTTGCTTGCAGTCTCAGTCTCTCCCACCCCTCATCGAAATCTCAAACTCCCAAAGCGAAATCCGAAAAGGAATCTTGTCCATTTGAGATCTCACGCGCTTCCTCTAGAAACTCACACCGAGCGACGGGAAGACTGAGATTTCGTGGCTGAAGTCTCGACGAAGATTTGGGAGATCTCAAGGGCGGGACTAGAGACTGAGATCTGCCCTGAAATCTTCAGGTCTCACTCCTCTCAATCTCTAAGAAAGACTAGAGATTTCCATGACTGAAAGCAAGCGAGTGTTTGCAGGTTGCACTCTTGCAGTGTAGGTGTTTCCGCACAAGTGTGAAGTAAGAGTGTTGAGTGCTGAGTGGGGCTCTGGGGCGAGACGCTATCTGCGCGCTAAAATCAGCTATGCTCCAGCGGCGATGGTGGCGGCGGCGGCGCGGCCGACCGCGAGAGGTAGACGCCGAGCGACCAGCTCGGCTTGAGGGTCACGCCCGGAGCGACCTCGAACGAGCGGCAGAGGTAAAAGCTCGCTCCCTCGTCGGCGAGGCCTGCGAGCCCTAGCAGCTCTGCGGGCAGCAGCCCAGCGTACGCCTCGTGCCGGCTCGCCACGGCCCCGCCCCTCGCCCACTGCTGCAGGTGCTCCCGCAGCGCCGCGACCAGCGCCGCATTGCCCACCACCCGCTGACCCACCTGCCGCGCCAGCCCGGCGAAGCGGCCGCCGTACTCGTCTGCGGAGCCGCAGGCTCCGACCATTTCGATGGCGACGAGCGTGCCGCGTAGCTGGCCGCGCCGGCCAGAGGCGGACACCTCTGCCGC